TGTTCATAATTCCTATTGCTTAATAAAATGATCCAACAATTGATGTTACTTTGTTTATCATGTTGGAGTCTTGTAAAAATAGAAGAACAAATTTCTAGAGTTTGTTTTTGCCCGTATTTTCAAGGAAAAGATTAGGTATAAGCTAACTGAGAAGGCAGATAAGAATATTTCACGTAAGAATATTTTAAAATAAGAATATGCTAAATTTTACAGTGGGTTATGGTTTTGGGTTAAATATCAAATATTAAATTAGAACCTACTGATTCTTCTGTTAATAAGGTTGCTGAATTTATTAAAATAAATTTTAAGAATATGTTAAAAGATACTTAACCTATTGATTCTCACGGCGTAGTCTGAAGGGTAATTTCATTTAGACTAATATTATTAAAGCAAAGAAAACGTTAAACCAAAAATTTGAATTTAAAATTTTACATGCCTCTGGATGGCTAGTTTCAATTCCTGTAAGCCGTTGTGGCTCTTTTTCTGAGTTCAGCTTTAAGTCTTGTTCTATTGAGAAATCCATATATTCAGTTAAAATGAACCACTTAGAACAGTTTAAAACTATTGCCTTTATAAAAATAAATTTAAGATATTTCATTTTATTTCATAAATTGAGTGTATAAATGATGCTGAATCTTTCATAAAATAGTTACTTAAGAAATAATTCTCCAAAACTTCAACAAATCACTTGAAGGGACACCAATGTCACCAGATTGAAGACATATAAACATGTCAAAGATTCACTCACAAATTCATCCACGCAACATAACTAAACAAAACCACCAAAAACACAACTTTAAAACACAGTAGAAACATATAAGGTAACACAGTATATTGTTCTCCACTTTCTAATGGTACCTTATAAATGATGTCCAAAATTATAGCTGACACCTTTGTTACTGTATAATGTCTTCCTAATATCTAAAATGTTTCCCTCCACCATTCTGACAAATTTGTGTTGTTTGTTTAGAGATTTTTCTTTCTTTCTTTTTTGAGACGGAGTTTCACTTGTTGCCCAGGCTGGAGTGCAATGGCGCAATCTCGGCTCACTGCAACCTCCGCCTTCTGAATTCAAGCAATTCTCCTACCTCAGCCTCCCAAGTAGCTGGGACTACAGGCACGTGCCACCAGATGTATTCTTGCTGTGTTGCCAGGCTGGAGTGCAGTGGCATGATCTCAGCTCACTGCAACCTTCGATTCCTTGGTTTAAGTGATTCTCCTGCCTCAGCCTCCCAAGTAGCTGGGATTACAGATGCATCACCACACCCAGCTAATTTTTGTATTTTTAGTAGAGATGGGGTTTCACCATGCTAGCCAGGATGGTGTCCATCTCCTGACATAGTGATCTGCTCACCTCGGCCTCCCAAAGTGCTAGGATTACAGGTGTGAGCCACTACACCCAGCCTTATTTTCATCTTTTAAAACAACGCTATGTGAAGTCCTCCTTGATTCTGCATGCCTTTCACCAGATAAGCAAGTACCTCCTTCCTTGAGGCTGCCTTAGTGCTTTATTGATTTTTCTACTGCATCTTTACCACCGGAACTGTACATTATTGTTCCACCTATCTGTCCCCTCTGCTCCAAGGCTGCAGGGGATAGTCTTGCACATCATCTTTATAAAAATATTTGTTTTACTCAGCAATTTTTTTATTCAGTCCTGCTACATACATGCTAGGTGTTAGGATTTACAAAGAATGAAAATAAAACATGTCAGGGATGGCTTTTCTAGAAATCATGTCTAAGAGGAGACTTAAATAGTGAGGCTAGCCAGGTTAAAAGGAAGAGAGAACAAGAAAATGTGACAATGCCAGGCAGCAGCAAGAGAGGGGGCAAGGCCTGAAAGAGGGAATCTATTTGCCTACAATAGAAGGATGAGTGACTAGGGCATTACCAGCAGCTCAGTAGTGCCAGAGAAAAGGCACACAGGGAAAAGGGGTAAAGACAGAGAGTGGGGCAGAAGTCAGATTATGAAAGCCTTATGTGTAATTTTAAGATCCTTGGACATTAATGTTCACGAGTGGTTCCTGGTCCTATCTACATTAGATGAAGATCACTTTAAATGCCAAAACAAATATTCTTAGTGAAGCATTATTCATTAAGACAAGGTGATAGATAGCTCATGTGGACACAGCTGAGATGATACTATGCAGTAAATTCTCAAGAATTCTCATGAACACATGGGAAAGTCAATTCTATAATAAAGTCATAGAAATGATCACAAATCACTTAATATTTACTTAGGGAAGCTGCTTTGTAAAGTTATAGTGCATATAACTAACAGTTGTGAATTCAGAGCTGTGAAAATAAAGCAAAGAAATCACATTGTGCTGGAGTCATCTTTAAAGTTCTATCTAGTTTTCCCATCCAGTCCCTGAATTCTAAGTATAATCCTGGTACTTACGCTTCTGTTCACATTAAATGCTAGCCTACACAAAAAACACTCTTCCTCTTACTTCTTTTTGTTATTTACATGTTGCTTTGTTTCAAGGAAGAACACAAAAATGCCCTGCTAAAGGGATTCTGTTTGTTTGCAGGCTGCAAGAGGGGAAAAACACAAAGCACATTTTGCAGAAAATAATTTGTTATAAGTCAGAACTATGACATGAAGCCAAGCAGGGCACTCTAGAATTGAAATTGCTGTGCTTGTTTAATACGCTCCTTCAACTCCCTCTTTTCTGGCAACTGTGAGTCACACAGGTCATGGAGAGTATCATTCCCTAAGAGAAACACAACTCCGACATTAATCTTTATCAAGTTCATCTGTCCCAATTCTGTGGATGCTGACTTTCGGTCATTGATGATGATACACATGGACATTCATCATCAGCTTCCAGATTCTTGGATCTTTGACAAGTCTTACTGAGAGTTAAACTAGTAGGATGCAAGTTGTAAATGCTGATCATCCAATTACCTACTCAAAATATCCTGTATGAATATTCCAGTAAACATGCATAGAAAAAATTAATCATTCCTGCTGAC